GATGCCAAAACTCTAACTTAAAAAAACCCATTCCAATTGGATAGGCATGCAGGAGTGAGTATGTCCGTGTCATTTCCCATTGTATCCCACCTGGCACCGCGGGGTTGGCACGGGGCACGCCACGCGCGCACAATGAGCACAGTGCACGGTGTCTGAGCATGCCCCATGGGCTGGCTCAGCCTGCAGTCGGTTGAGGCGGAATTAGCGAAGGATAGCGGGCGAATCACAACGTGCGTGCATTGGTCCCCAGTAAGGGATCGCGAGCATGATTCTATCCTGAAGTGCGTTCAACTTCTTTCGCATGACGTCACGCCGTGCCGTCACGTGTTGCTGTTTGACCGGACTTCGCCAACGCTGTTCAGTTGTTACTCGTCGCCAGCGATGTTAACCTTGGCCGGGATTCAAACTCGGGTGCGAATTGCCCTCGAAGGCAACAAAGAAATCGCGCGAGAAGTCTCGTCGTATTTGTACTTTTTTACACGAATGCTTTCATCGAAATGTTATCCGCCGCATGTATACGCACGCTCCACGACGCGTGCGTATCCCACGCGCGCTCGGCGTGAACAGAGTGGTGGAGCGGCGGTGTCGGTGCCAACGTCTACGAACCCGGCGGGCCGAGTTCAATTCCCCGCTCATGGTACCGGGTCCGCGCGAGTCTCTCCGGCAGGTCGACTCAGCACCAAATGAGCGAGTGCTGCAGTGCCCGATGGCGGAGCGTCAACGTCGACACCGAGAAGACTTTAGGCCACGTGCTTCTGGCCACGGTCCTCCGTCGGTGCTCGCTAACAGCACCTGCCCCAACAGGCTCTTAAAGGTTGACTTAAAGCTCTCGTGACTGCAGGAATTAATATTCTTTGGGTCTTTCGGTAAAGTCATGTAGATAGGTTCAAAGAAAATAACCAAAAACGACGACGTTTCGATCGCAACACAAGCGTTCGTCTTCCTGATGACGAGCGCTTGTGTTGCGATCGAAACGTCGTAGTTTTTAAAATAATTTTTTGCTATTTTTATTGAACCTATCCACGTGACTTTACCGAAAGACCCAAAGAATAGGCTCGTAAAGGTTACATGGGGGACGGGGGGGGATCTTTGTCTTTTTGTGTGTGTGGTATTTTAGTCCGCACTTTGCTACGCCGCTCGGCGTCGTCCGTGCTGCGGTAGGATTCCGAAATCGACATTGAGGCTCCACACGAAGACAAAGATCCCCCGTATAGCCTGAACAGACTGTTGGGGCAAGTGCTGTTAGAGAGCACCTATAAAGACCGGCATGGCACACGAGGGGGTGGGTGGCCAACACCACGCGCGGCCGCCTTTGTCTCCCCAGTGACGATGTTTACACATCGCACCAGGCGCTCATTTGAGGCTGAGTCGACCTAGGGGAGGCCCGGGACCGGTTCAGATAATCGTCGCACGTACCGGGTCGCCAGCTCGGTGTTTTATTTCTGGGCACTGTGATGAGGACCCCGGACGAAGTCGGGGGTGCTAACGCGAGCGATCGTGCACATCGTGCACTCGCGTAACGACCGCGCGTGATTGTTCCTAAGGGTTTAATTAAAGCAGGAGGCGCGGCGGAGGGGGACTTGTTACAAAGCTGACCGAGTTTTGTCTCTGTGCGAGGCGCGCGTGTCACCACCCTGCCACACGTGAACGCGCGCCACGTGCGCTGGGGTCGTCGCTCTGACAGCAGCGTCGCGCGCGCTCTGCTGAAATCGTGACGATGATGACGACGGTGGTGGTGGTGGTGGGGGCTGTCCCCTCGCATCACGAACCTCACGTGGAATGCCCCCCCCCCACTCCACCCACCACTCCACCCACCACTCCCCCCACCCCCCACTCCCCGCCCCATTAGTGTGGGGCTCTTGCGGTGGCACGCAATGATTAGCGCGCTGCGTTGTGGTTTCCCGGAGAGCTGAGTTCGAATCCGGGACATGACGAACAGCAGTGGCACTAAGTGATACGTCTGAACCAGTCATCGTGACCCCCCCCCCGCCCAGCTGGCCCCCAACACGGTCGTTTATACATCAACCTGCAATTACCAGTGTGGTGAAGTATGGTCAACACCATACGAAAGGCATCAATCCAGCAGTGGATTGACGAACGATAAGAACAACACACTGTGAAGGACCGGAGCACGAGGTTACGTGGCCGGACCCACGCTCGACCGTCTTTGTCACCCCAGTGACGATGTTTATACACCCCACCCAGGTACTCATTTGAGGCTGAGTCGACCTAGGGGAGGCCCAGGACCGGGTCAGATAATCGTCATTGGTGTTGGTGGCCGTGAACTGGAATCAAACTCGAGTCGCCGGGTTCGTAGCGCATTGCGATGACCGCTGCACGAATTCTCCCCACGTATACGCGCGTACACACACAGTACGTGTATACACACAGTCCGTGTACACACACACACTATGTGAACACACACACAGCACGTGTACACACACACACTATGTGTACACACACAGTACGTGTACACACACAGCACGTGTACACACACAGTACCTATACACACACTATGTGAACACACACACAGCACGTGTACACGCACACACTACGTGTACACACAATACGTGTACACACACAGTACCTGTACACACACACTACGTGTACACACACACTGTGTGTACACACACACTACGTGTACACACACACGATGTGTACACACACAGTACGTGTACACACAGTACGTGTACACACACACAGTACGTGTACACACACAGTCCCTGTACACACACACACTATGTGTACACACACACTATGTGAACACACACACAGCACGTGTACACACACACACACTATGTGTACACACACACAGTACGTGTACACACACTACGTGTACACACACAGCACGTGTACACACACAGTACCTGTACACACACACACTACGTGTACACACACACAGCACGTGTACACACACACACTATGTGTACACACACACACTATGTGTACACACATACACACTACGTGTACACACACACTATGTGTACACACACACTATGTTTACACACACACACTATGTGTACACACACACTATGCGTGAACACACGCGCAGTAACTAATCTGCGATTGTGAACAGACGGACGGCGTTGAAGCGTGCTGCGATAAACAATTCAAGCGAACAAAAATCCCCCTTTTGTAAACCAAGGATACGCGCGTGTACATCACGGACAGGCACGTGCACCACTCCTGTGCCGATAGGTACGTCTGGATACACACACACACACACGTATCTCATTCATCATCATCATCAGCAGCAGCAGCAGCCATGGTCACTCCCCTGCTGGATGGAGAATTTCCAAAGCCGTCACCACCGCCTCTCACGACGCAACGCACCTGCGTAACGTACGGCACATTGAACTTCTTTCGCACCGTACGTAGCCAACCGAGCTCATCGGAGGTGCGGGGGGAGGAACACAAACTGAAGGCAAAAAAGCAGTTCTGAAGAAATGCGTTTTCACTCGCCACACTATAAATCGTATTCACGTCTGGGTTGGCAGAAACATAATCGCAGTTATTTTAAAATTAGTTTACCTTTGGCGGGTCAGGGCAAAACGGCACCACCCTACAGCCCCTTGTCAATCCACTGCTGGATGAAGGAAGAAGGCGTCCCCACACGCTGTGTGGGTCGTGGAAGTGCTCTGCCCATTCATCGCCACGCCGTGATTGTTGTTGTTGAGGCGGGATCGGCGGTCGCTTGAGAAATCATTCGCTACTGATGTTAGCCCTGGCCCCGGATCCAACTCAGAGTGTCGGGTTCGTGTGTGTGCAGCTCGAATTGCCGCGTCACCGTCCCATGCACGCGAATAGTACACAAAGACAAAGATCCCCCACCCGCTCCCGTATAGCCTCAACAGACTGTCGGGGCAAGTGCTATTAGCGAGTCGCACCTATGCAGGCCGGCACGGCACACGAGGAGGTGGGGTGGTCAGCACCGTGCCCGGCCGCCTTTGTCTCCCTAGTGGCGATATTACACACCGCACCAGGTACTCGATTGTGGCTGAGTTGACCTAGGAGAAGGCCCAGAGGGCCGGTTCAGATATAATCGTCACCGGTGTTGCCCGTGAGCGCTAACCCCTGCGCCACCGCTCCCCATGATAATCATAACAAGCACACACGCACAGGAACGCATCACTCCGCAGTGTGTTGAGCGCACAGACAGACGCGAGGCAGTGGAGGGAGTCTAAACGTGAGTTGCAACGGACGGTGCTGCGAGGAAAGCCGTGCAGCAGCCAGAGGCATGCGTACAGGCAGCTGCTGCTGCTGCACCTTCGAATAACACTGTTGGCTACGTACGGTGTGAAAGAAGTTGAACAGACGTATTGGTAGATAGAGTGTGTATGTGCGTACCTGTGTGTGTGTGTGTGGGGGGGGGGGGGGGGGGGTGTTGCAGTTAGCGCGCTGCGCTACGAACCCGGCAACCTGAGTTCGATTCCCGCTCACGGCCACCAACGCCGGTGACGATTATCTGAACCGGTCCTGGGCCTCTCCTACGTCGACTCTGCCTCAAAGGAGTACCTGGTGCAGTGTGTAAGCATTGCCACTGGGGATACAAAGGCGGCCAAGCGTGGTGCTGGCCACCCACCCCCTCGTGTGCTGTGCTGACCTTCATAGGTGCTCGCTAACAGCACTTGCCTTCAACCGTTTGTTAAGAGCTACACGGGGGATCTTTGTCTTTGTGTGTGGAGGGGGGGCGGTAGTGTGTGTGGTGGTTAGCGCACTGCGTTGAAAACCTAGCGAGCTGAGTTCGATACCCGCTCACAGTTCAATCGGTGGTTGGTGTGATGAGCATCGTCACGGGGGAGACAAAGGCGGCCGGGCGTGGTGCTGCTCACGCCACTTCCTCGTCCGCTGTGATGGCCTACGTGGGTGTTGGATAACCACACTTGCCCCCTAACAGCCTGAAACAGCTGTACGGGGGGTCTTTACCTTTATCTTTGTGTGAGACATTGCGCGCAGATGGGATGAGTTGTAATGGTCGCGTGAACACGTGGACTCGCTAGACGCCCAATGAGACGAACGCGCCCGTTAGGAGCAGACCCACGCAATGCACACGTGGAGGGAACAGAGGTGAGAAATTTGACACAAATTAACACTGTGGTGCACGCACACACACACACACTGAGATCTACATCTTAATTTCATTCCGCTTTATTAACTCAGACAGCGTCAATTGCTGAGCCGAGCGCGTCACGTGGGACGTGTTAAGCAATCATCGGGCGCGTGCGATGCGTAACGAGTTTAATTGGGAAAAGACGGAGCGTGGTGTTGGTGGTGGGTTGTTGTGGTGGTGGGTTGTGGTGGGTTGTTGTGGTGGGTGAGAGGGCCGCGATGACTGGAGTGTGGGTAACCCCGCATGAAGGCCTCTCCAAGGCCGCCGCCGTCTCTCACGCGCCTGCGATGTAACGATCCACCCAGCTGCATCCCGCATACGGTGGCAAGATGTTAACTCCCTCGCCTGGTGTACAGGAGGTCGTGCGTTCGATCCCGACCCTGACGCCTGCTGCTGTATATTTGTAGTCTGCGTGTTCTCGCTCTCTCCCCTGGTCGCGTGGATTTTGCTGCGGGGCCTCCGATTTCCCCCGCCCCCTCCCTCCACATTTAGAATCGCCATATGTTTAGGGTATTTCGCTACTGCTATGCATGTCGACGTGACGATGAGGCCACTTCGTTGAGCTATCATTTGTGATTTGCCAGGTCGTTTTCTGAAAACAGAGCTGCACAGCTCAGGCCTGTGCCGAGCCACCGCCGCCGCCTTCACAACCGATTCGATGTCGTAGCTGCATCCTCCACGGTGAACGTCCTCTCGGAAGCGTTCCATTCTAAACTAATTTAAAACTATAATTAATGTTTTTTTTATCTTACCAGAAAAAGGTCCACTAAGCTCTTCTTTTTGGTATTAGTCCATGGGACCCAGACGAGATATCTGACTCACCGGCACCATCTGAAGTTCTATAACTTCAGCGCTTACAATTGCGCGAACGTGGCCAACGCCGGTAAGTCACGCGATGGTCATCAAAGGTGAGTGGATAATTAATCAAGAAATTCACTCTCAGCGGCCACATCGATCATTCGGCGCCACGGCAGTTTGTTGCTACCTTAGTTGGGACCAATTTCTACTCACGGACTGTGTGGAGAGACGGAGTGAAATTCAGCTTTTATTGGGCTTTTAAAGTAACGTATTTATTCAGGAAAGCTGCTCTGATTCCTATGACTCGTTTTTTTCATGCGGGTCCTGCTGCTGCCGCCGCATTGGAGATTTTTATTTTATTCGTAAGACGTTTCCGGCGAATTCACGACGAGTCGTGTTCCATCATACACGTGGGAGTTAAAGCGGTGCACACGGAGAAAACAGACTCACAAAAAGCCCCATGCCTTGCGCGAGGACATCGCCTTTATTCCCCCACAGAAACGTCGCCTGCTCGCAGTGACGTTTCGCGCCCCCCCCCCTCCCTCTCGTGCACGACACCGCGCCCTTCTCTCTGGCTTGTGGTGGCGCTCTGTCACTCGCGGCTCCGGCCTAAGGGCTGTTGGGCCGACGGCAACCCGGGGCTCGCGCGAACCTCATCCCCGCGAGCGCGTTCATACATACCCAGTGGCCTCGCGGTCGCATTATCGGCTCAGGGGGTGTGCGGAATCGTTCAGGTGGGGGTTCCCCATAAAAAAAAAAAACATCCCACGGTGGTTGCCAAGGGGGCCCCAACTCATAGCTTTGACCAACAGGGGGGGGGGGCGAGGCACCCCCTGCCCCCACGCTAGCTACGCCACTGATTATACTCCGACAATAAACATCTCTGCAATTGCCTTCCAATAACATTGTCAACGGTATCGCACCACTTTACACTCAACAGCTGATACCACGACCCCAATCCCCGCCGCCCCTACGTGCGCGCACCGTCGCGACCTCTCCCACCCGCCGATCCACATCACCGTGCTCCACGTGCCGACAACTCGACCTGCGGGTCACCGAATCACCGCCGCTGCCGCTGCTGCTGCTGCCACTCGTGGTGAGACGCAGGGCGATCTCACCACTCGCCCGGTGTTTATCTCTTCTCTAACCCATTGCCGGTGGAGTCCCGACTACTTTGCAGTATTTGCGAATCAGAATCTTTGGTTAGACCGGAGGAGGAATCCGATGAGCTGCGAAGCTCTTCATCACGGATGTCCAGTCGGGACACGAGGTCATCGGCGGGGGATTTATATTTCCCAATTTCGTGCATGGCGCACTGAGATCCCGGGATGAATTGTTCATTCAAGACGCGAGAGACGCGACTGCATCGCATCTGGGTTATTTTATTTAATTGCCCGCATCTACATTGGGCAATAATGAATCACCCATGCGCAACCTCAACCGCGCGTGGCTCTCACCTGCTCAGATATGGACACAAACACAAAGACTCCCCCCAAATCGGCTCCCCCATGGAGCCTATTTAACAGACAACTGGGGCACGTGCTGTTTGCGAGTAGCACCGATGAAGGCCGGGACGGATCACAAGGGGGTGGGTGGCCAGCAGCACGCCCGGCCGCCTTTATCTCCCTCGTGGCTGAGTCGACCTAGGGGAGGTTCGAACTCGGTTCGCCAGATTTGTAGTGCAGCGCGCTAATCGCTACACTACCGCTCCCCTCCACACACTCATACACACATGGACACACACATACACACACATACACAAAAATAGACAAAGATCCCCCGCATAGCCTTAACAGACTGTAGGGGCAGGTGCTGTTAGCGAGCACCTATGAAGGCCGGCACGGTACACGAGGGGGTGGGTGGCCAGCACCACGCCCGACCGCCTTTGTCTCCCCAGTGGCGATGTTTACACACCGCACCAGGTACTCATTTAAGTCTGAGTCGACCTAGGGGAGGCCCGGGACCGGTTCAGATAATCGTCACTGGTGTTGGCCGTGAGCGGGAATCGAACCCGGGTCGCCGGGTTCATAGCGCAGCGTACTACCGCTACACGACCGCTCCCCACACATACACACACATACTCACCCACACACACACTCACCCACACACACACCCACACACACACACAATCACCACCGCCCCCTATTTCACAGAACTAGCCCCGCCCCCCATGGCCACCCCCCCGTGCATTCGCCCTGTGACGCGGAGACACCCGGGGACTCACCGATACGCAGGTGTGGGGGTGGGGGGTGCGGGTGGGGGGTGGGGGGGTGGCGATGGGAATTCGGGGGTGGGGGTTGGGGGTGGCAGGCAGGAATGGGTGGGGGCTGTGGTGGGTGGGTGGTGGTTGGTGGGGGGTGTGAGCTGTAGTGGGTGGGTGGGGGTGTATTGGGTGCGTGGTGGGTGGATTGGGGCTGTGGTAGGTGGGTGGTGAGTGGGTGGATGGGGGCTGTGGTGGGTGGGAGATGTGGTGGGTTGGTGGGGGATGTAGTGGGTGGGTGGTGGGTGGATTGAGGTTATGGTGGATTGGTGGGGGCTATGGTGGGTGGGAGCTGTGGTGGGTGGGGGGGGGCTGTAGTGGGTGGGTGGTGGGTGGGGGCTGTAGTGAGTGGGTGGGGGCTGTAGTGGGTGGGGGGGGCTGTAGTGGGTGGGTGGTGGGTGGGGGCTGTGGTGGGTGGGGGGGGGCTGTAGTGGGTGGGTGGTGGGTGGGGGCTGTAGTGGGTGGGGGCTGTAGTGGGTGGGGGGGGCTGTCGTGGGTGGGTGGTGGGTGGGGGCTGTGGTGGGTGGGGGGGGCTGTAGTGGGTGGGTGGGGGCTGTAGTGGGTGGGGGGGGCTGTAGTGGGTGGATGGTGGGTGGGGGCTGTGGTGGGTGGGGGGGGGCTGTAGTGGGTGGGTGGTGGGTGGGGGCTGTAGTGGGTGGGGGCTGTAGTGGGTGGGGGGGGCTGTCGTGGGTGGGTGGTGGGTGGGGGCTGTGGTGGGTGGGGGGGGCTGTAGTGGGTGGGTGGTGGGTGGGGGCTGTAGTGGGTGGGGGGGGCTGTAGTGGGTGGGTGGTGGGTGGTGGGTGGGGGCTGTGGTGGGTGGGTGGTGGGTGGGGGCTGTAGTGGGTGGGGGGGGGCTGTAGTGGGTGGGTGGTGGGTGGGGGCTGTAGTGGGTGGGTGGTGGGTGGGGGCTGTAGTGGGTGGGGGCTGTAGTGGGTGGGGGGGGCTGTAGTGGGTGGGTGGTGGGTGGGGGCTGTGGTGGGTGGGGGGGGGCTGTAGTGGGTGGGTGGTGGGTGGGGGCTGTAGTGGGTGGGGGCTGTGGTGGGTGGGGGGGGCTGTAGTGGGTGGGTGGTGGGTGGGTGGTGGGTGGGGGCTGTGGTGGGTGGGGGGGGCTGTAGTGGGTGGGTGGTGGGTGGGGGCTGTGGTGGGTGGGGGGGGCTGTAGTGGGTGGGTGGTGGGTGGGGGCTGTAGTGGGTGGGGGGGCTGTAGTGGGTGGGTGGTGGGTGGGGGCTGTGGTGGGTGGGGGGGGCTGTAGTGGGTGGGTGGTGGGTGGGGGCTGTAGTGGGTGGGAGGGCTGTAGTGGGTGGGTGGTGGGTGGGGGCTGTGGTGGGTGGGTGGGGGCTGTAGTGGGTGGGTGGTGGGTGGGGGCTGTAGTGGGTGGGGGCTGTGGTGGGTGGGGGGGGCTGTAGTGGGTGGGTGGTGGGTGGGTGGTGGGTGGGGGCTGTAGTGGGTGGGGCTGTAGTGGGTGGGGGGGGCTGTCGTGGGTGGGTGGTGGGTGGGGGCTGTGGTGGGTGGGGGGGGCTGTAGTGGGTGGGTGGTGGGTGGGGGCTGTGGTGGGTGGGGCTGTAGTGGGTGGGTGGTGGGTGGTGGGTGGGGGCTGTAGTGGGTGGGGGGGCTGTAGTGGGTGGGTGGTGGGTGGGGGCTGTGGTGGGTGGGGGGGGCTGTAGTGGGTGGGTGGTGGGTGGGGGCTGTAGTGGGTGGGGGGGGCTGTAGTGGGTGGGTGGGTGGTGGGTGGGGGCTGTAGTGGGTGGGGGGGGCTGTCGTGGGTGGGTGGTGGGTGGGGGCTGTAGTGGGTGGGGGGGCTGTAGTGGGTGGGTGGTGGGTGGGGGCTGTAGTGGGTGGAGGGGGCTGTAGTGGGTGGGTGGTGGGTGGGGGCTGTAGTGGGTGGGGGGGCTGTAGTGGGTGGGTGGTGGGTGGGGGCTGTAGGGGTGGGGGGGGGCTGTAGTGGGTGGGTGGTGGGTGGGGCTGTGGTGGGTGGGGGGGGCTGTAGTGGGTGGGTGGTGGGTGGGGGCTGTAGTGGGTGGGGGGGCTGTAGTGGGTGGGTGGTGGGTGGGGGCTGTGGTGGGTGGGTGGGGGGGGCTGTAGTGGGTGGGTGGTGGGTGGGGGCTGTAGTGGGTGGGGGGGCTGTAGTGGGTGGGTGGTGGGTGGGGGCTGTGGTGGGTGGGTGGGTGGGGGGGGGCTGTAGTGGGTGGGTGGTGGGTGGGGGCTGTAGTGGGTGGGGGGGCTGTAGTGGGTGGGTGGTGGGTGGGGGCTGTAGTGGGTGGGGGCTGTAGTGGGTGGGGGGGGCTGTAGTGGGTGGGTGGTGGGTGGGGGCTGTAGTGGGTGGGGGCTGTAGTGGGTGGGGGGGGCTGTAGTGGGTGGGTGGTGGGTGGGGGCTGTAGTGGGTGGGGGGGGCTGTAGTGGGTGGGTGGTGGGTGGGGGCTGTGGTGAGTGGGGGGGGGGGGGGCTGTAGTGGGTGGGTGGTGGGTGGGGGCTGTAGTGGGTGGGGGGGGCTGTAGTGGGTGGGTGGTGGGTGGGGGCTGTGGTGGGTGGGGGGGGCTGTAGTGGGTGGGTGGTGGGTGGGGGCTGTAGTGGGTGGGGGCTGTAGTGGGTGGGGGGGGCTGTAGTGGGTGGGGGCTGTGGTGGGTGGGGGGGGCTGTAGTGGGTGGGTGGTGGGTGGGGGCTGTAGTGGGGTGGGGGCTGTAGTGGGTGGGGGGGGCTGTAGTGGGTGGGTGGTGGGTGGGGGCTGTAGTGGGTGGGGGCTGTAGTGGGTGGGGGGGGCTGTAGTGGGTGGGTGGTGGGTGGGGGCTGTAGTGGGTGGGGGGGCTGTGGTGGGTGGGTGGTGGGTGGGGGCTGTGGTGGGTGGGGGGGGCTGTAGTGGGTGGGTGGGGGCTGTAAACAAATTGGGCACGCGAGGAGCCTCGCAAGAGACGGAGGTCGCCTGCAAATCGAGCGGTAGCCATGGCGACGGCGCGTGGTTGCCGTGCGCGCGCGTGCAGTGCCGGGTGGGGCAGACGGTGGGGGCCGTGTGGAGGGGGGTGGGGGGAGTGGGGGGAGTGGGGGGAGAGGAATCGCTGAGGACGTCCGCATGGGAAGGCGGCGAGTGGTGAGCGAGGGGGGGGTGAGATGTGGTGTTTGACGGAGCGGGGAGGAGAGCGCACACACGCACACACACACGCGCACACACACACTCACACACACGCACACACACACGCACGCACACGCGCACACACACGCGCACACACACACGCACACACACACGCGCACACACGCGCACGCACGCACACACACGCACACACACACGCACACACACGCACACACACGCGCACACACGCGCACACACGCACACACACGCGCACACGCACGCACACACACACGCACACACACGCACACACACACACACGCTCACACACGCACACACACGCACACACACACGCACACACACGCACACGCGCACGCACGCACACACGCACACACACACGCACACACACACGCACACACACGCGCACACACGCACACACACGCGCACACACGCGCACACACGCACACACACGCGCACACACGCGCACACGCACGCACACACACGCACACACACACACACGCTCACACACGCACACACACGCACGCGCGCGCACGCACACACGCACACACACGCGCACACACGCACACACACACGCGCACACACGCGCACACGCACATGCGCGCACACGCGCACACACACACGCACACACGCGCACACACACACACGCGCACACACACGCGCACACACACACGCGCGCACACGCGCACACACATGCGCGCACACACACACGCACACACACACGCACGCACGCGCGCACACGCACACACACACGCGCACACACTCACACACACTCACACACACGCACACACACACGCGTGCTCACACACACGCACACACACACGCACACACACGCGCACACACACACGCGCACACACACACGCATACACACACGCACACACGCACACACACGCACACACACACACACACGCGCGCGCACACACGCACACACACACACGCGCACACACACACGCACACACGCACACACACACGCGCACACACGCACACACACACACGCACACACGCGCACACACACACGCGCACACACACGCGCACACACAGGCGCACACACGCACACACACGCGCACACACACACGCGCACACACACGCGCACACACACACGCACACACACACACACGCGCACACACACGCGCACACATGCACACACACACGCGCACACACGCGCACACGCGCACACACACACGCGCACACACGCGCACACGCGCACACACGCGCACGCGCGCACACACACACACGCGCACACACGCGCACACGCGCACACACACACGCGCACACGCGCGGCGCATCTCAATGCGATATCACCCACGGCACGACGGCAGAGAGAGAGAGAGGGGGGGGCGGGAGAGAGCGCGTGCGTGCAGGAGGGGGGGGGGGGAGTAGAGGATTGGAGAGACGCGGGGAGAGGAGAGACACAGAGAGACGGGAGCGCGGATAGCAGACGAACAATATGGAGGCACAGGAGAGCCCTCTGGATTATTGTTGTTGTTATTGAAGGCTGCTACGCGAGTCTTCATAATCCGAAACCGCTCCAGATTATCTCGACCATCAGGGCCACGTTTCTCATTTCAGCCTCCCCCCCACCCCCCACGGGTCTGCAGCCACTCTCCCACACACTCCGTCTCCCTACCTCTCTTCTCTCTCTCTGTCTCTCCCATCATCTCTCTCTCGTCACCTCTTCTTCCTCCCTCTCCCATGCGCCGCTGCGTGCGGGGATCGAGAGCGGGGAACGAGACCTCGAAACGGTGCAGAAGGCGGCGTCGATAATAAAAACATCTCCCACACCACCACCCCCTCCACGCCAGCCACATCCGCCTCGATCACGATCTCTCTCTCCATCTCTCTGTGTCTCTCTCTCTGTGGGTCTCTCTCTCTGTGTGTCTCTCTCTCTGTGGGTCTCTCTCTCCATCTATCTCTGTGTGTCTCTCTCTGTGGGTCTCTCTCTCCATCTCTCTGTGTGTCTCTCTCTCTGTGTGTCTCTCTCTCCATCTCTCTGTGTGTCTCTCTCTCTCTCGTCCACAACACCGCTCGGCTTCCCTTCGATCCCGGGACCATTGCGACCCGCCACGGAGGTGGAGGGAGGCAGGCAGGAGAGGACTCCCCGCAGAGGCAGAGACGACAGGGAGAGCGGCGGGGGCGGGCGGGGGGAGAGACGCGGAGAGACGCGCGGACGGATTGGAGAGCGCGCAGGGCACTCCGGAGAAAGGTGAGGGCGCGAGCGTGTGGGTGAGAGAGTGTGGTGGGTGTGTGTGTGGGTGAGAGAGTGTGGTGGGTGTGGTGGGTGTGTGGGTGAGAGAGTGTGGTGGGTGTGGTGGATGTGTGGGTGAGAGAGTGTGGTGGGTGTGTGTGTGGGTGAGTGAGTGTGGTGAGCGTGGTGGGTGTGTGTGTGTGTGGGTGAGTGTGGTGAGTGTGGTGGGTGTGTGGGTGAGAGAGTGTGGTGGGTGTGTGTGTGGGTGAGAGAGTGTGGTGGGTGTGTGTGTGGGTGAGAGAGTGTGGTGGGTGTGTGGGTGAGAGAGTGTGGTGGGTGTGGTGGGTGTGTGCGTGAGAGAGTGTGGTGGGTGTGTGTGGGTGAGAGAGTGTGGTGGGTGTGTGTGGGTGAGAGAGTGTGGTGGGTGTGTGTGTGGGTGAGAGAGTGTGGTGGGTGTGGTGGGTGTGTGGGTGAGAGAGTGTGGTGGGTGTGGTGGATGTGTGGGTGAGAGAGTGTGGTGGGTGTGTGTGTGGGTGAGTGAGTGTGGTGAGTGTGGTGGGTGTGTGTGTGGGTGAGTGTGGTGAGTGTGGTGGGTGTGTGGGTGAGAGAGTGTGGTGGGTGTGTGTGTGGGTGAGAGAGTGTGGTGGGTGTGTGGGTGAGAGAGTGTGGTGGGTGTGGTGGGTGTGTGGGTGAGAGAGTGTCGTGGGTGTGTGTGGGTGAGAGAGTTTGGTGGGTGTGTGTGGGTGAGAGAGTGTGGTGGGTGTGTGTGTGGGTGAGAGAGTGTGGTGGGTGTGGTGGGTGTGTGGGTGAGAGTGTGGTGGGTGTGGTGGATGTGTGGGTGAGAGAGTGTGGTGGGTGTGTGTGTGGGTGAGTGAGTGTGGTGAGTGTGGTGGGTGTGTGTGTGGGTGAGTGTGGTGAGTGTGGTGGGTGTGTGGGTGAGAGAGTGTGGTGGGTGTGTGTGTGGGTGAGAGAGTGTGGTGGGTGTGTGTGTGGGTGAGAGAGTGTGGTGGGTGTGTGGGTGAGAGAGTGTGGTGGGTGTGGTGGGTGTGTGGGTGAGAGAGTGTGGTGGGTGTGTGTGGGTGAGAGAGTGTGGTGGGTGTGTGTGGGTGAGAGAGTGTGGTGGGTGTGGTGGGTGGGTGTGTGGGTGAGAGAGTGTGGTGGGTGTGTGGGTGAGAGAGTGTGGTGGGTGTGTATGTGGGTGAGTGAGTGTGGTGAGTGTGGTGGGTGGGTGTGTGGGTGGGTGAGAGAGTGTGGTGGGTGGGTGAGAGAGTGTGGTGGGTGTGTGTGTGGGTGAGAGAGTGTGGTGGGTGTGTGTGTGGGTGAGAGAGTGTGGTGGGTGTGTGGGTGAGTGAGTGTGGTGGGTGTGTGTGTGGGTGAGTGAGTGTGGTGGGTGTGTGTGTGGGTGAGAGAGTGTGGTGGGTGTGGTGGGTGTATGTGTGGGTGAGTGAGTGTGGTGGGTGTGTGGGTGTGTGGGTGAGAGAGTGTGGTGGGTGTGTGTGTGGGTGAGTGAGTGTGGTGGGTGTGTGTGTGGGTGAGTGAGTGTGGTGGGTGTGTGGGTGAGTGAGTGTGGTGGTTGTGGTGGGTGAGTGTGGTGGGTGAGTGGGGTGGGTGTGTGGGTGTGTGTGGGTGGGTGAGAGAGTGTGGTGGGTGTGTATGTGGGTGAGTGAGTGTGGTGGGTGAGTTGGTGAGTGTGGTGGGTGAGTGTGTTGGGTGAGTGGGGTGGGTGTGTGGGTGAGTGAGTGGGGTGTGTGGGTGAGTTGGTGGGGTGGGTGAGTGTGTGGGGGTGTGAGTGGGGTGGGTGAGTGGGTGGGGTGTGTTGGTGAGTGGGGTGGGTGTGTGGGTGAGTGAGTGGGGTGGGTTTGTGGGTATGTGGGTGAGTGGGGTGGGTGTGTGGGTGAGTGAGTGGGGTGGGTAAGTGGTGTGTGGGTGAGTGGGGTGGGTGTATGGGTGAGTTAGTGGGGTGGGTGAGCGTGTGGGTGAGTGTGGTGGGTGTGTGGGTGAGTGAGGGGTGTGTGTAGGTGAGTGTGGTGGGTGAGTGAGTGGGGTGTGTGGGTGAGTGGGGTGTGTGGGTGAGTAAGTGTTGTGGGTGTGTGGGTGAGTGAGTGTGGTGGGTGTGTGGGTGAGTGTGGTAGGTGAGTGAGTGGGGTGGGTGTGTGGGTGAGTTAGTGGGGTGGGTGAGTGAGTGAGGTGTATGGGTGAGTGGGTGAGTGGGGTGGGTGTGTGGGTGAGTTAGTGGGGTGGGTGAGTGTGTGGGTGAGTGGGGTGGGTGTGTGGGTGAGTGTGGTGGGTGTGTGGGTGAGAGAGTGGGGTGTGTGGGTGAGTGGGTGAGTGTGGTGAGTGAGTGAGTGGGTGAGTGGGTGAGTGAGTGGGTGAGTGAGTGGGGTGGGTGTGTGGGTGAGTGTGTGGGTGAGTGAGTGAGTGGGTGAGTGAGTGGGTGAGTGAGTGGGGTGGGTGTGTGGGTGAGTGTGTGGGTGAGTGAGTGAGTGGGTGAATGAGTGGGTGAGTGAGTGGGGTGGGTGAAAGAGAGGGTCGGTAGAGGTGAGCACACAACGCTGTTACTAAACCGGCGATCTCTGAGTTCGCTTCCAGCTCACGGCCACCAACGCCGGTGACGATTATCTGAACCGGTTCTGGGCCTCCCCTAGGTCGACTCAGCCTCAAATGAGTACAGTACCTGGTACGGCGTGCCGTGCCGACCTCCATAGGCGCTCGCTAACAGCACTTGCCCTGACAGTCTGTTAAGGCTATACGGGGGGGGGAGGGATCTTTGTCTTTGTGAGACGGTAGTTGGGTGTGAGAGAGTATGTGGTGTGGTGTGCCCGTGCGTGTGTGCACGCGTGTGTCTCTGCCCGTGCGTGCGTGTGCGTGATTGTTGTTAAGAGGACACATTTTCACATTACATTTACAGCCGGTGTGCGTATTGTGTGTTTGTCTCTGTACGTGCAGGCGTGCGTGTGTCGATGTAGGTGTATTTGTGTGTTCATATAGGAATGTGTGTGTGTGATGGCGCATGCGTGTGCGTGCGTAGGTATTTATATTTGTGGGTGTATCTGTGTGTAGGGGGGAGCGGTGGTGCAGTGGTTAGCACGCTTCAAACCCGGCGACCCAGATTCGATTCCCGCTCAGAACCAAATCCAGTCGATGAATGCATGAAACCGGTACTGGTCCTCCCCTAGGTCGACTCAACCTCAAATGAATACCTGGTGCGGTGTGTAAACATCGTAACGAGGGAGACAAAGGCGGTCGACAGTGGTGCTGGCCACTCATCCCCTCGTGTGCCGTGCAGACCTTCATAGGCGCTCCTCTCTAACAGCACTTGTCCCGACAGATTGTTACAGGCTATACGGGGGATCTTTGCATTTGCGCGTGGCTTTGTGTGGCGACGTCCCACGTCCCCTCCAGCGACGTGACTCGCACAGGCTCGCCGATGTCTCTGAGAGATGTCTGCGCTGCACATCTCAGGTGGAACCCGCAGCCGGCTTCTCGAATGATTCATGCACGGCGTCTCTCTGGCGCTCCGGAACGCGTGGGTCCCCCGTCGGAGACGCGTGCGTCTCTTGATTCGCGCCCGTTATCTTTGCGTGCCCCGATGGCTACGTACCGTGCGCGTGTTGGACTTCGTTCTGCGCCACGGACGTCGGTATGCCGGGCGTGCTGATCGGAGGTGCGGGGTAGCACGTCCTCTCAGCAGGGGCAGAGTCTCGTTCGCGAATTAATTGAGTCCGACTCGAGTCGCGATGGGCAAGCCCTCTCTGTCTGCCGGTCGGCCGGCGCGCAAAGAGGCGAGGACGTGTCACCGTTTAATTACAAACACAACATCGAAGCACCAGCACCAACAATGAAACAACACATGTAATCATAGTGATGGTGGTGATGATGATGCCTCGTTTGATGACAATGATTATGATGTTTCTATTCTTGCGCATAATGGCAGCAGCAGCAGGAGCAGGAGGAATGATGTCCAGGAGATGACAATGTCGAGGAGTGCTGCTCGCCACAACGAGAGGGCTTCAGCAGACAGAGTTTGATTTGTGCTGTTACTCCATTGAAGGGACGCAGATATATATATATTTTATCACGTTTACTATTGGTGTGATTATGATGAGATATATTGATCACGATGATGGTGGACGGTGCGTTGATGGTGATGACGATGTCTGGTTTGATGACGACTATTATTATTTTCATGATATTGATTGATCAAGATGATGATTATGAAGAAGATTGACGCAATTCAGGTTGAAGATGGTGATATATACTGGGTGCTAGATATTTTTTTACACTTCTGATAATTTGCAACAACGATACCACAGGAAATGTGGCCTCCGGGCTCTGGAGACCACCTGGGGAAGATTCCAGGCACGCGTTGACGACGATTGCGAACAAGTGGGAGAGACTTTTGACTTTCTGAAGCTGTTAACATGACATTTGTTATCATGTCACAGCGTATTTATCCGTTCTTTTCCATTGAAAACGATGGTCCAACGTAAGTGTTTTTTTCTCGAAGGGCCTTGTATGTTAATGCTGACAATTACTTTGATAGCGACATGAGGAGGGTTCGCTGGGGGGGGGGGTGATTTTCCGTCGCGTTCATCCTATCTGATTGCAGCGGAGGTCTGCGCACAGGACGGGGTAGTGGGTAGTGGGGTTGTGTGTGAGGTGGTGAGTGGGGTGGTGTGTGGGGTGGTGTGTGAGGTGGTGAGTGGGGTGGTGTGTGGGGTGGTGTGTGGGGTGGTGTGTGGGTGGTGTCTGGGGTGGTGTGTGGTTGTGTGTGAGGTGGTGAGTGGGGTGGTGTGTGGGGTGGTGTGTGGTTGTGTGTGAGGTGGTGAGTGGGGTGGTGTGTGGGGTGGTGAGTGGGGGTGGTGTGTGGGGTGGTGTGTGGGGAGGTGTGTGGGGTTGTGTGTGTGGTTGTGTGTGAGGTGGTGTGGGGTGGTGTGTGGGGTTGTGTGTGGGTGGTGTGTGGGGTGGTGTGTGGGGTTGTGTGTGGGGTGGTGTGTGGGGTGGTGTGTGGGTGGTGT